CGACGACTTTGTTCACATTAGACAGTGCCGAACAACTTGTCTGACATTAACATCAGATTCCTCCACTGTAGTTTCTAGAAATAATTATGGATTTAGAACAAATTTTCAAGTAATTACCAGCGGGTATATCAGCGTTTACTTCTACGNACAAGAGAGTCGATAACGGGATGAGAAGGCTGTTGTCCTTCATGTTGCAATTCGAGTCGTACGGGATCCACTAATAATCCGTCGTCATATGAAGCATAGTCAAGAATTTACCCAGGGATTTAGGATATCGCTTTCGTTATGTCCAAAGACTTTCTTCATCAGATACAGGACATTTACCCTGGTCCAGTCGCTTCTTACGCAAGGGGTAGTTGGCGGATTTGATGTTCCAGACATGAATAGTTGCTAAGAGAATAACATCAAAGGATAAAGTAAAACGAGCTAGCATAACTATGTTATACTATTACTACTAATAATACCTAAGTCTTATTGATAATAATTATTATTAAATAACAGTAGTATACACCATTATTCGTACTACTTAGACGAAATAAACTGCAATAATTAATGTACGAATTATTTAGTAAAGGTTATAGCTATATTAAACTTATATTTTCACACGGTTTCACTATCTCGCTATGAACTTCCGCAAATTTTGCGCATTGATCAGAACGTACCTAACTGATCGCGAGTCATTGCTTTCGTGTTGATTTCACTGAAATATATGCATACAAGCACACCTAGAGCAACTAGACAATCCCTTATCAAACTTCTTATTGAAGGAACTAAAAAAGCGCAAAGTGGAATTGAATGAAACTCGTGAACTATTGCAAGAACAACGCATTCGACTAGAGCAGCTGGAAGCGGAAAGGCGCAACGAGTATGCGGTGAGTGAATTTCAATCCTAAATGGTATGAATTGGACAACTGGGATATATTGACGCAAGAATTATTCCACCTGTTCCACATTATCTCATTAGTGGAAGCGATATTTCCGTTGTGACGGGTCTCCGAATCCAAGCATTGAGAAGGAAGTTAATACGTTCATGAGCTTATGGCGTATGGATGAATCACGTTTGACCATGGAGGAAGTGATGGATGAGAGTGTGCATAGTCTGAGGGTAGGCTGCTTTCATTTTATTCTGTTCGAAGAGAAACACTTGTTTTTTCCGCAGTTGATTGACGAACTGCGGACTCTTGTAGCTGATGTCGGTGATAACGAGGAAGATAATCAGACATTGCTCACATACCGTCGAGTAAGTCTGTGCAGAGTAACATGTATTTCGTTTCAGACAATGCATGAACTTCGACAACTCGTTCAAGAGAAAATAGATAGAGCGACAATTGAGACATTGTCACGAGCCGTCCATTATGCTGATCATGAGACGTCAAACTTACAAAAAACGTGGCGAAATGATTGGATTGCAGTATGTATTTGGGCTAATCTGTCAAAAAATCCACGGTTTGGTGCCTCATTTCTCCAATTCTAATCTGACCAAATAGTATTCGTCAATTTACTTTTCCCGATGTGGATATAACCTTTGACATACCAAAGTTTCTGACGCTATCCGACTGCAGTTTCTTAATATCATTTATGAAATTTGACAACTATTCTGTCGAATGTGCCTCATATACACCATGCCGTGTTCAAAAGAAAGGTATTTCCTGAATTGTGTAGCATATATTTTTATATACAGTTGTACTACCACCACCACCGACTGTTCCCCATGCAGACGATGCGATTTCTCGAAGTATTACAGAATTCCCGGAAACTGATGCCATCGACAAATCCACCACGGAAGAAACGCATCTGGTAAGTTTTAATTTTGGCATTTGATCAAAATCATTCGAAATAAACTTGTTCAACTGAGTGAAAAATGAAACTTCAGCTAACATTCTATCATCCCTTATTGGACATTCTGTTAGGTTTATACTGCTGGCTATTAATTATCTATACTTATTTTCTGTTGCCGAAGGTTTAAAAAATAAATAAGATATACATGGAATGAAAATATGACTGCATTTGAATTCTTCTGTTTTTCCATATCATACCAAAACGAACGTTATGCAATTTTATCCTCCATTCTTCTTGAAAAGTGCAATATTTTAAGGGCTTCTCTATTCCATTAGATCAGAAGTAGTTTTCGGATGTAGTGAGAACTGCTTATTATCTGTAGCTTTTGTATAACAATTATCAATAATATTAGTTTAGTTGTTGTACGTATTCGTATATCACCGCCTTTTGCCTTTGTCAGGATGTAACCTCCGACTTTCAAAAGATTGGTCTCGCGGATGAAACAGAAGAACCTGCAGTGGAGCAGGAAGAACTAATTGAACCGCCTATTGAAGATCTTGTTCCCACACCCGGTTGGTGCAATCTGTGAAAGTTTAAAGAATCCTCGCATATTATAATTTTTATTAACCGATGTCCTTTACGCCCTCTGACAGGTTAATTTTTAGTATAATTTAAAAATTATAATATAAATAGCCAGAAAAGAACCTTTCTACCGGTTAAAAATAAATAATAAAACTAACGTGAAAAAGGTGTCACATAAATGATAATTTGTGTGGTTGATGGAATACGCACTAGAGAGGAAATAATGCTGTTGTGACAATCAAGAGTGCGAGTCAGGAAAATTTCAAACTAGCAGGAGATAGGGGAATTGAAGACAGAATTGAGAAATAAGTTATGCAATGAGTGGTTGGTATTAGATACGATTGCAATTGTTTGGGTATTTACTTTACCCTGGTAAAGGAATAACCCACTTTTGCTCCGTTATTACTGTCCAATATCATAGTGAGCAATGGATGCTCACTAAAGGTCCCTATAACGATAACCGTTCTCTATCTGAAGTAAGTTCTGCATCGCTTCTGATAAAGAAGACACTGAAATGCGTAAGTGGCAGTTCTGCTCTGGGGTATTTGCAAGCATGTCATGTGTTATTAGTTGTCTTTTCCTCAACTTAACCGCACGTGCCCGTTCCGTTAGGGATTATTTTCGTCCCCGCCTTCCAACACTTGTGCGCACTAACGTACATGATCGCATATACATATGCATAACCAAATATACGATACGCACGAACTCCTTACCCCACTCCTATTGGTTGAACTTGTCTCCTTGTCCAAATTCATCTCACATAACCATTAACCATGCACTTTCGTGTGGCGTTTTTTTAATTTCCAAGTAAACATTATTATGTGACTCATCACTATTCCATAAAGCAGTGTTTTGAACCCTACGTGGTCTTCTCCTTGCTTTTTAGGCCGACTGCGTTCTTACACGGTAACGGACAAGTAACACGTATGACGGCCATCGCCCAGCCATCCACACACTTACTACCCATACTTGACACTGTTTGCGACATACGAACCCGATTGAAACGCATCTTCGTGATCATTCAGGGGTATGAAGGCATCAGTAGTAGCACGGGTCTCGGCCGGGGCCTTCCGTATGAAGTACGATACATGATATACTTTGCTGCATAGCAAGACTAAAAGTTAGCCCAAAATCAAAACTAGTGGTGCGAATGTTGTAAAGTTTCCAGGTAATATCCTTTAATTCATCCCCAGTCTAACCCAAAAGATAAAAATACTCCAAATACTTACGGTGTAAAACAGTGGCGGAATTATTCTGGTTTATTTACTTTTCTTGCATAACCCAATGTTGGTTGAGACATATGCTGCGTATGTCACCAAATAAATTACCGCAGCTCGCGATGTTTGTCAAGGAAGGCAATACACGGGAAAAGGTCAAGGGCAGTCAAGCTATAACCTGACGCGAGGGTATATAGCCCCTAACTAGGTTGCGTTAGGCTCCCTTGATAGGGATCTCGAGATCATGGTAACCGGTGTTTAGAGGCACCGTGTGATATGGCTGAATGTCGCAAATAGTGGTGCTTACAACTTCAGTCTATATGAATTCTGTCTTCTGTTTGGTTCTGCTCTCAAATTTACAATCTTCCGTTGTTTTGTCCAAATGGGCAGCCTGAAGACAGCAACCAAAACCGTTGCACAACTGTTCATTGTCAATGTAAATATTGTAAAGACTGAACTGATAGCCTTATTTTGTTTAAGTCACATGCATTTTGATCCCCGTGTCCGACCCATATACATACAGTGTTGTTCTGCAAGTTATATATTTGTCAGTTAGTTGCGCCATCTTATCAGATCACTCAACACGCTTATTTCCTAAGAAGTAAACAATTAGCGTGTCTTCATCATTTATATTTCCTTCCATCCAATTAAACTATACATACAGAACCGGATGAGTGGGAACGGGCGTTGCTGTGTCCGGACGCAGTCGACCTAGGAGAATATCACGTGATTGGTGGCGTTATCCGATTTGATTTGCTCACTCTTCCCCGTCAGCCTAAATCCGGCCGAGGTTGGACAATTACCACTTGTGTCCGACCTCCGAAACTGACCCCGTTCGAATACATTATTGATCCGTCACAAAAGATGTCTCAATCTTCAACCGCACAAGAAGGTAATGAATTCGANACTAAAGGATCTGGGTCTTTAAAGCAGTCTCGATTCCTGATTAAAAACTACCAACGTTTAAATCAATGAAACAAACAGTTAAGGAAATATAATTTTGTAGAAAATAGAATTACTTAATCGTACCAAACTGTTGAACGTGAAGCTTAAGGAGGAATTCAAAATGCACCCAGTGACATTAATGGTAAACTTGTCTAAAATATGTTTTACTTCCCTGATACTCACTGTATCACTTATATGCTTGATTATAAGGGGCAAAAATCCATACTTACCCAGTGTGGCGAGTTTCTGGGAGGCCACAATAAATTCTGACACCAAATTCAATGCAAAAGTGGATTAGTTCCAAGTAGCTATTTGTTGAATTTCATGCAATTTCTCGAAGTCCGCGATAGCTCCCGCATATTTTTCAAATACAAATAAGAGCAATAGATTCTTCAATAACTGAGATATTTCCACAACTAGCCTGAGTATTACGTAAAACACAAAATTCAATTACACGTAAGTCACTTATGTTGAAATACTGTTTACAATTTGATCACCAGGATAGCTACTAATGATAGTTCATATGAGTAGTATTTCGTTCGGGACTAGGCTTGTGAGCTCACCGTAATTCACGTTCTCTCTCTACGAAAGGCAAAAGAGTTGTTTCGTCATTGTACCCAGTTGCACAATAGTGCAACTAACCAAACCTGTCCCCGGGTTCAATTGAACATCAAATATTTTAACGCAATGCTTTACAAGACGGATATTGAAGGGACAAAAATTGATCGCGTTGGTTTGGATTATAGGGAGATAACTTTATCCGAGGGGTAAGCCCATTATCTTTAATTTACAGCTGAATTTTACGTTGTTTATGCACTGTCCTTTGAAGTATCAAGTTTCAAACTTAACTCATTTACAAACACAGGTAATAAGTAGCTTTACTTTCATCAATATGAAACTTTTCCTGTGAGGAACCTGCGTGATTCAACACCCGGAGTTCACGGAATATAGTTGTCCACGAACCTTACCTAGATCATTTGTTTTCGGAATTATAGGATTTCCCGTTCTAATCAGTATCATACAATGCTATTAGGAGCTTTTTTCTAACTATTTAATCTGAGAATGCCAAGTCAGTGTGTCTGTTAAGAAAGGGTTTTGTTAGAAAGGACAATTTACAGTTGACATAGGTACAATGTAAAACAATTAGTTGGGAGAGATTAACTGAAGCCTTACAGAGTTATGTGAAACAGGCTATAATTAGTTTACTGGTATTGTTAAAAGCAATTTAGGTTTCCTAAGATGTTTCTTTCTACGACCCGGTTGACATGCAGTGGTTCCAATCACCTTCCACTAACCACACACCGGAAGTAAAATAAAACCAATTCGTAGTTCACAAACGAAGTATCACCATTACAGTAAAAAGCGCAAACAATAGATAGAGAGGAAAAGTCATCTTTTACAGAAACCATGAAGAAACAGTTTCAGGAACGATTTAAGTACAATTTTCGGATTTTTACATTGGCTGGCTTCCATTAGTCCCGTCGGAAAACCGAGGCATGAAAAAATAAGTCACATCATGACATAATTGTCTTCTAACGGGGAGATTAAACAGATAATAAACAGCGAAATGGTGAGTCAATATCCCACTTCAAGAAGAGTCTGTCCTCCTCCAAAACAAGTCACAATTAAGTATAAGATACTACACATCAGAAATCAAATTTTGTTTTTTATCCAATTTAAATAAAATTATTTAGTGGACTGAACTGAATTATTTTGCTTCTTATCAGGAACACCACTGAGTGGAACTAATAAAGAAGAACGAAAAGACGAGAAGCCCCCGGTTCAGGTGAAATTCAGGTAAGTTATGCATGTTTGTAAGGAGTCTATAATTCCTCTTCATTTTATATGACTCTAATGAACACGAAGATCAATTTCGTTTCCAGTTCACCGACTGTCCACTTAGCTTCATAATTATTACGTCATTTTTCATGGGCATTTCATAGGAATCAGTGAAATTTACTTCACCGAAGATCATCGTATATCCATTGATATTTCTGTGTTGAAACACGTGACCGTGTAAGCATCGGTAATGATGAAGACTACATAAGCAACGGGGATCATAAAATTCATAATGGCTTGATTGGATATCCGCTTTTTGACCTCCCCATCACGCGTGATTTCCTCTCCTGACCTTGACCTCAGCCATGTGGATGAAACTCACACCACAGGGAAACCAGTTTAAACAGATGAATCAAAGTTCGACTGAAGAAAGGACCTTCCCCACCTTCGTTAACTTGCACTATCTTTTAATTGTAAAACTTTAATAATATTTCTTAATTTATAGAAATAACTTTTAATACATAGGTCGTTGAGGCCTGCAAGTTTTATACGGAGCTGATGCTTGAACACTATGACTGAATCCGTGAGGACCGGTTCTAAATCGAGGCGTGTCTTATGCAAACCTGAAGGTATCGCATATATGCAAGGTAGAGAGAGGATTATTACCACAAGAACGTACATATGATCACGGACACGTTGTATACCTCTAGGAGTTCCG